TATCATAATGTACTGTATATGTTATAATATATATATATATCATAACATATATACAGTATATTATCAGACCAGTTAGACCATCATCATCTAACTGGTCTCTCTGTCTCATGATGGTCTAACTCAGACCTGGGCATTGTACGGCGGGACGTCAATGGGAAATTAGGAATAAAACGTAAATATTTGTACATCATGCACGGAATACAGCTGCATTGCTTTTATTTTGAAGGCGGCTGCTGCTGTTTTTTATCTCAATTTACGTACGTTCGTGGATGTGTGCGAGCAGCAGCGTCACTGCAATCCCAATAATAGCAGTGTCGGCAGCCGGAATCAGTCCGTTGTATTTGGCCTGATTCTGGCGCATAATTCATCCCAAGTCTCAGCGGAGTCGGCAACCGGACTCTGCCCGACGTGTTTCTTCCGGCATGCCGAGCTTACGCCGGAGCTGGGCCAGGTCATTTTGGCAACCTGGGATGTGTTGGCGATGCAGAGCGGACACGGACATCTGAGGCTTTGCTAGCTAACCTGCAAAATCAACATGAGCAGAAGATGTTGGTTCTCTTTGGATCTACCTACATATGTGAACAAACATTCTCTGTGATGAAGTTGAACAGATCCAGATCCTCTCTCACTGACGATCACCTGTCAGCTGTCCTTCACATATCACCTCACACATTCAACCTGACTTCAGAACACTTGTTCACTGAACTGAAATGCAGAAAATGAGGTCATTGGACTACAAACAATAGTAATAAAAGTACTAATTTATCAGAAACATGATTCCTCTGTGTTTTACTATTATATATGGATATTACAAATGTATATTTGTTTGGATCATTATTCCTGCTGCAGGAATGTTTCAGGTCGAGCTCATTTTAAATTCTTTATAGTCTGTTCAGTTTGGGTAGTTAGGAAAGGTTTGAAAAATTATATATAACTAAAGCTGCCAGACAAATGTAGTGGAGTAAAAAGTACACCTCCCTGTGAGACGTAGTGGAGTGGAAGTACAAAGGTGAATAAAATAGAAATACTCAAGTAAAGTATGTGAATGTGAAAGTATGTTGAATTTGTACATAAGTACAATACTTAAGCAAATATACTTAGTTGCATTCCACCACTGATCATAATATTTACTCTTACCACTCACAGCTTATCAAAACCATACAATGTACTGCTTTTTATAAAGAGGTGGAATAATCAGGAAAAAAGAATTGCCCAGCCCTGGTCTAACTGGTCTCTCTGTCTGATGATGGTCTAACTGGTCTCTCTGTCTGATGATGGTCTAACTGGTCTCTCTGTCTGATGATGGTCTAACTGGTCTCTCTGTCTGATGATGGTCTAACTGGTCTCTCTGCCTGATGATGGTCTAACTGGTCTCTCTGCCTGATGATGGTCTAACTCAGGGGTGTCAAACTCATCTTCACTCTGGGCCACATCAGCATCACGGTTTCCCTCAAAGGGCCGGTTGTAACTGTAAGACTGTGTAAATGTAACTTCTCCTAACATATTGGTAAATAACTGTCTCTGCATTTGATTATTGTTTATTCAAGTGTAAAAATATTGTACATGCAGTTATATAAATGTAAAAATATATTCCAGCACATTTCTGTTATAACTTAAATCCTTTTAATTTAGGGTGAAGAAACCCACATTACTCTATCAAAGATCAAACTATTAAAGAAAATAGCAAAGACAAATATCAAACACAAGTTATTACAATAACTTTGGTCAAAGCTTAAAATCCTTTCAAGGGTGCGTTTGCACAATCCCACGTGAAGTATTTCATGTGTTTTAAAGCCACGTTTAAAGTAGTCTTCAATGTATTCACAATACATTTCCATTTCAAGTGTACAGTAACCAGCCAAAGAGCTGCTTCTGTGACTGTGTGTTTAAGTATCTCATCATTTTGACTTTCTATCTCATCATTTTGACTTTCTATCTCATAACGTCGACTTTCTATCTCATAATTTCGACTATGGGGATATTTTTATTATCAAGTCTAACTTTAAATTATTATTAATTTTTATTTTATTTTATTTTTTTAAATCTGACGAATTCGCGGGCCACATAAAATGACGTGGGGGCCGTATGTTTGACACCCCTGGTCTAACTGGTGTAACTGGTCTCTCTGCCTCTCAATTGTCTAACTGGTCTTTCTGTCTCAGGTGGTACGTTCTGGATGCACAGACCACCGACCTAGTTGCGATCCACACTGACGGGAATGAGCAGCTGTCATTGATGCGTTTCTCTGTCGGTGGGTGAAGTCCTACGAAATCATCCTGTTTACAAACCAGCTAGACTGTTTCCATGACAACATTATAAGAGGACTGAACTACATGACCCAGAATGCTCCTCTCTTTGTGTCTGTAGATGGCAGTCTGTTGGCTGTTGGATCTCATGATAACTTTATTTACCTCTACACCGTCTCAGAGAAAGGACGCAAGTACAGCCGCTACGGGAAGTGCACGGTAAGAGTGCCAGTTGTTTTTCTTTGTTTTCATTTCTTGCTCATTTCATGTTTTATATCCAGCAGCAGAAGGCGACATGCTTGACTCAGTGGCTGTTAGCTCTGTTAGCACTGTTAGCTCTGTTAACACTGTTAGCACGTTTAACTCTGTTAGCACTGTTAGCACGTTTAGCTCTGTTAACTCTGTTAGCACTGTTAACTCTGATAACTCTGTTAGCTCTGATAACTCTGTTAGCACTGTTAGCTCTGTTAACTCTGTTAGCACTGTTAGCTCTGTTAACTCTGTTAGCACTGTTAGCTCTGTTAACTCTGTTAGCACTTTTAGCTCTGTTAGTTCTGTTAGGATGTTGCCGTTACTTGCGCTGTTCGTACTGTATAACTCCATTATAACAAGCTGTTCCTCTTGACTGAAGTAGACGGCTGCGATTGGTCCATTTAGTTAGGTCGAAGACTTAAAGGACACCAACCATCCCGGTTTTGAGAACTTTCACAGAGCCTGAAGAAGAAAATCTGGTGAACAAAGATTGATGGACACCATTGTAGTACCCGTGATCTCCTTGGGCCTTTAGGTTTTGTCCAGTCAGCGTGATGCGGTAGCTGAGTAAAGATGGAGGATTTACTCCTCTTCACACGGCCCACAACCTTCACCAGGAGGGTTGGGTCTAGTGCTCTTAACATTCAGACAGGTGATTTAGAGAATAAAGTTCACACAGGTGAGATTATCTTATCTAATAGAGAACTACAGATACCAGAATTCACTGGTGCTGAGACAGAGATTCAGTGTGTGTTCAGGTGTGTTCATGAGTTACCTGAATGTTTCCACAGGGACATTCCAGCTACATCACACACCTGGACTGGTCACCTGACAACAACTTCATCATGTCCAACTCTGGAGACTATGAGATCCTCTATTGTGAGTACTGTGATACCTTATTAGGCGACGTTGGGTCAGTGGGAGAGCAGGGTCATCCTTCAATCAGAGGATCGGCGGTTCAATCCCCGGCTCTGCTGGTCCATGTCGATGTGTCCTTGGACAAAACATCCAAGGTAGCTCCTCCCATCAGGGTGTGAATAGGTGAATGATGTCATGTTAAAGAGCTTTGAGTGGTCAGAAGACTAGAAAAGAGAAAACACAAGTACAGTCCATTTACCTTATTACTGTAGTACTGTGTAGTTGTAGAAATGTTGTGTAGTCACAGTTGTTTGTTTTCAGGGGACGTTCCAAACGGTTGCAAACTGATCAGAAATCGTTCTGAGTGTAAAGACATCGACTGGGCGACCTACACCTGCGTACTGGGATACCACGTGTTCGGTTAGTACACCTGCAGCACACCCAGTACACTTAGAACACCTATACACCTGTGCACCTACTACACTTAGTACACCTACTACACTTAGTACACCTACTACACTTAGTACATCTACTACACAGTACACCTGTGCACCTACTACACTTAGTACACCTACTACACTTAGTACATCTACTACACTTAGTACACCTGTGCACCTACTACACTTAGTACACCTACTACACTTAGTACACCTACTACAATTAGTACACCTGTGCACCTACTACACTTAGTACACCTACTACACTTAGTACACCTACTACACTTAGTACACCTGTGCACATACTACACTTAGTACAACTACTACACTTAGTACACTTACTACACTTGGTGCACCTACTACACTTGGTGCACCTACTACACTTAGTGCACCTACTACACTTAGTACACCTGTGCACCTACTACACTTAGTACACCTACTACACTTAGTATACCTACTACACTTAGTACACCTGTGCACCTACTACACTTAGTACACCTACTACACTTAGTATACCTACTACACTTAGTACACCTATTACACTTAGTATACCTACTACACTGAGTACACCTATTACACTTAGCACATCTACTACACTCAATACACCTAATACACTTAGTACATCTGTACACCTAATACACTGCTACACTTAGTAGTAATAGTACTCTGTATTTCACCTTTTAAAACTCTGCCGATAAATAAATAATTAGAAACAAGAGCAATGAATCCAAACATGTGACTTTCCCTTTTTATCAAAAATACTTATTCAAACTTTGTGAAGTTATTTTCTTCCTGTTTCAGTATTTATGTGTGTGTAGTAATACGCACATTAACGTATGTGTAGTACACACGTTATTGTGTGTGTAGTAATAAACACGTTAATGTGTGTGTATTAACGTGTGTGTGTTTGTTAGGTGTGTGGCCCGAGGGTTCAGATGGCACCGACATCAACGCTCTGATCAGATCTCACAACAGGAAGGTGATCGCTCTGGCCGACGACTTCTGTAAAGTTCACCTGTTTGCCTACCCATGCTCCACCCCTAAGGTGAGACACACACACACACTTTTCTATCAAACTTCATTTAATTTATTAATTCTTACGATCAGAGTCCAGTAAGACGGAAGCCTTTGACGTTCCTTCAAACACAAACAAGATTATCTGAGAATAATTTAAGTATACTGGTTCTCAGTTGTACTGGGCTCCAGTTGTACTGGTTTCAGTATTTAATTACTCTAAACCAAAATACAGAAGTGTGGTGAACTGTTCCAAAGAACATTTAAGGAGCCTCAGTTCATCCCATAGATCAATAATGTGTCTATCCACAGGCTCCAAGCCACAAGTACAGCGCACACAGCAGTCATGTGACCAACGTCAGCTTCCTGTATAACGACAGTCACCTGATCTCCACTGGGGGTAAGGACACCAGCATCATGCAGTGGCGTTTGGTGGAGAAGTCTTCGCTCTCTCTCACCGACGGCCTCTTATCTAACTCTGCCCCCCACCGGGTGGACCCCATCTTCGCCCTGCCTCCTCCCGTAGCAGCCACGCCCACACGGGACCCCGTCATTCCTCCGACGGCCAATGGAACCCAAGAACCCTGCCCAGACACCCCACCTCCTACAAAGCTAGCCCCGCCTACCTCTGAGTTAACCCCGCCCCCCTCAGACAGCACGGTGAGTCTGAAGGACAGCCTGGAGCCGAGTGATGACACGCCCAGTGATGACACGCCCAGTGATGACACGCCCAGTGACGAAGGGCTGCCCCCCCTCACCCCCCCCTCATAGTCAGACATGCTGCCTTTTTGAGGTACAGGCTGAGTTTCACACCTTGTGAGGACATTTTTACAAAGACGTTTTGTTTGTTCCTCAAGTTGTGTTGGACCTTTAAATTTCAGGGTTCAGACTTAGTCTTAAGGTTGGAATCAGGTTTACATTCAGTTTATGTGGGTTAGGCATGTAGCTAGTGATGGTTTAGTAAGAGTTAATACAATATGATACATAACTCAGTCAAATCACAGAGGATACACATGAAACAAGTATTGATATCATTCAATGTGACTTACACTTCCGGAGGACATCTGTGATGTCCATCCAGAATAAATGCTTTAGAACTTGAGAATCATCATGTTCTTAATTTTCTGCTGATCAGAGATCATTCAGCAGACATTTAATGTTGTTTAATGTCTCCATTTAACAACATTAAACGTTTAATTTCTCCATCAAACGTTTAATTTCTCCATCAAACGTTTAATTTCTCCATCAAACGTTTAATTTCTCCATCAAACGTTTAATTTCTCCATCAAACGTCTGATCTCTCCATTAAACGTCTGATGTCTCCATCAAACGTTCGATGTCTCCATCAAACGTTCAATGTCTCCATCAAACGTCTGATGTCTCCATTAAACGTTTAATTTCTCCATTAAACGTCTGATGTCTCCATCAAACGTCTGATGTCTCCATTAAACGTTTAATTTCTCCATCAAACGTCTGATGTCTCCATTAAACGTTTGATGTCTCCATTAAATGTTTGATGTCTCCGTCAAACGTCTGATGTCTCCGTCAAACGTTTGATGTCTCCGTCAAACGTTTGATGTCTCCGTCAAACGTTTGATGTCTCCGTCAAACGTTTGATGTCTCCGTCAAACGTCTGATTTCTCCGTCAAACGTCTGATTTCTCCGTCAAACGTCTGATTTCTCCGTCAAACGTCTGATGTCTCCGTCAAACGTCTGATGTCTCCGTCAAACGTCTGATTTCTCCGTCAAACGTTTGATGTCTCCGTCAAACGTTTGATGTCTCCATTAAACGTTTGAGGTCTCCATTAAACGTCTGCTGAAGTTTTACTTAATGTGAAAAAATAGAATCAAGAGTTCTCAGTGGTCCAGGTTTAATGGTTGCTTTAAGGCGAGGCCATGCGTTGTCAATGAGGGTCCCCAGAAGTATACAAGTACAAAAGTGTGTGTGTGTGTGTGTGTGTGTGTGTTTGTGTGCGTTGGGACTCAAACCAGTGTCACATGTTTTTTTCTTATCAGTCAGCTGTTAAAATCCACTTTCCTTCAGTTTAATCAAACGCGGTGTCACAGTTTGAAACACCTGGAGAGTCTGATTCACCTGAGGAAAGACTGGAAGAGGAGCAGTTACCTGTCATACCTGGACATTTACTCTCATCCTTTAAACAGTTTGAAAATCTCTCCTTGGTCCAGATGTGCTTTCTACTGCAGAGAGCAGAGGCCTGGAACACAGGTGTGACAGGTGGCTATCAGGTAACTTGTTCTCCTCCAATAAGAGTCGAGCAGTTGAACAGGAAGTGAACCTGCAAGTCTTGAATGTCTTTTAGAAACTGGTTGTTTTTTAAATTTGGTTTAATAATTCGTTGGCTATAAAAAAAAAAAACTAACGATGTTTTATCAGTGTCTTATAATGAAAAATACCTTTAACGATTATTGATTATAAGTTTCTAATGAATATTGATCAAAGCAATCATGTACGATGAGCTGCACACAGATTCTCACAATTTATAACAGAAAAGTCAAGTTTCATTCACTCATTTGACTTGACTTTGTTGCTCTATTATTTTGTTTAACTGCCAAACTCAATACTTAATTACAATAATTCAATTGAAATTGAATACTTCTAACTGATTCACAATAAAAGCCCTCCAGTGAGGAGACAGTACTGTGGAAGGTGTTTAATGTAAATCATCCAAGATATACACAGTACAAACCAAAGAGAAGAGAGTAAAGTTAAACTACTGCTCCCAAGGTGCATTTCACTAAGAGACATCCAATCACACAGCTCCACATTCTAAATGTTGATTTAGATCTGGTTTAATCATTAAATCTTTTAGCACCAGTCAGGTCCGGTCTGGAAAACCCATTTGTTGGATCTGTTTTGAGAACCTCAGACCTCAGACAGGTGAGCTTTCAGTACAGAATGTCTGGAGATCAAGGATGAAATAAACAGGAAGTAAACAGAATGCAAACACATGACATCGATCTCCAGAGTAAAAACTGTGACTCAAATATTTTTTAATAGTCAGAAGTGGATCAGATGGAGACAGACAATCTGTTTGTATATACTGCAGATATCTGTATATTTCTGTTCACTCCTCAGCTACACTGTAAAAATCCCATTTAACGCTCACATCTCTCAGCCAATCTGGTCACAGGAAACACTTGAGAACCTCTCCCCTGATTGGCTAGATTCAGTGACTCACTGAATGACTGCTGATGTTTGTTTTTATCTCTTCTGGACCATTTCTGTTCAAAATGTAATCTGAATGTCATGATGACGTCACTCCGGATGGGGGGTGGGGCCTTTCAGTGGAAGACAGGGGGTGCGGGTCATTAATGTTTTTGCCTTTTTAATACTCTTCATCTTTCTTATGCTCGTCTCTCTGAAGGGATGGTTTTGAGTTTTGGGACTCACTGGATGTCCAAGGAGGGACGGTGCCGGGGGGGGGGGGGCATGTGGGGATTTCTGGATTCAAGCGTTTGTTTATTTTACAGTGTTCAGTAACGACATTGATACCCATGATGATGATGATGATGATGACAATATTCATGTGACTGTTTTGAGCCAATGTATTCTTCTGTGATGCATTCCTGTCAGACGGCAGACTGTACTGAAGATTTCAACAAAAAAATGCAAATAAATGTTTTAAAAACTGACAATTCACCTCAAGTTTCCTTCCTGTTGCTGTTTCCTAGGCGATCTGGTGGTACAGGTGAGTTCATCTCAGTCTGCAGTTTCGTCTCTGGCCTTCAGGTGTTGCTATAGACCAGAGGACAGTATATAGAGCAACCTGTATTCATGTACAGCAGGAGCTTCTACTAGTTGCATAATCTGATACTGTTGAACTTATCAATTATAACTTAATAAACAGCTATTAGGTGTTTATAATGAGTGTTGCAAATTTGCATTTCAGGAGAGACTGAAGCTGCATCCACACTGCTATGCTTCCATTTAAAACAGGTTTTAAAATGAAAGCAATCTACGTCCACACAGTAGTCAGACATACTCTAATAAGAAAAGGTCTGGCTTGATACTTACATACCTGCAAATTTGTCGCTTTTCGGCGAAATTTTGCCGTTTTGAATCAAAATATATCATCCACGTGAATCGTGTAGATCTGTAGAGGTTTTTTTTGCGGGGGGGGGGGGTCAACTGGCCAGCCAGCGTTTCTCAGATTGGAGTGAGACGAGGAGAAAAGGTGATGTCATGATCTTCGCAAAAAAACATCTTTGACGTGTCTTCATTTCCCTCCGTTAAAGTTTAAGTTCCGTTATGTTCCGTTACCGTTCAGACTTGCTGGGTTAAGTTAACGTCCACTGCATGCGGAACTTTGTGGACTCTTAACGTTCGTCAGTATCGCGATTTAGGAGGAAAACAAATGTAACATGATGAAACATGCAGCCCCCCCGTGTTCTGGTTGCAGGTTGTTATTTTTTTAACTCAAAGTAGAATGAGGCGATTTCGTGGTGATAATAACTTGAAACATGAGGCCCAGATACGAATGAGATGATGAGGTCAAAGAGCTTCAAGAAGAGGATGTCTGTAGCGCATGCTTGACGCAGGGCTGAGATGTGAGTGGAGGTGGGCCTGGATAAAGGTGGAGCTGGGCCTGGATAAAGGTGGAGGTGGGCCTGGATAAAGGTGGAGCTGGGCCTGGATAAAGGTGGAGGTCTAAACAGACGTGAGTACAGCTTCCTGCTGTCGCAGTGTTTTAAATACATTGATAAGGCAGGGTATGCTAAATGCAGCCTCTGCTCCAAGGAGATGAACTACAGTAACAAGGGCTCACATGCCCTCTCATCACACTGTTCACACCGTTCACTTAAGATCTTCCTCTATAATGTTCCTCTATAAACTGAAATGGACAAAGTTAGTTACAAGGCTGCAGGTCTTACTTTCTCTCTTACACACACACTCACACACACTCATAAAATTAACTTTAAAATGAACACTTACAAATCGAAGTTTACTAGATTATGGGTCAATAAATGTGGCTTACGTCTCACTCGTTTCCTCTCGGTTTCGTTGTCTGTTCTTACACTCTTCTGGGTGACTGGAAGTCCCTGTCGTACTGGAGAGCATTTATGCTTTTGTTCGTTTACAGTTTGATCGTGAACTTCGCAATAATTATGCAGAACAAAATAAGCATTAATAAGAAAAGGAAAGTCCTCCGTTTTGTGTCCATTGCCTTTCTCAAAGCGCAAACCTCTCTGTGTGTCAAACATTATGATTCTGTCTCCTCTCCCCCACCCACTCCCTCCCTTTCAAAATAAAAGCCCCATGGATTAACTGTATCTTAACATGAAGCTCAGAATAAGGCTTTTTTGTTTAAATACGTAATGCTCTTACTAATAATATGACAACTACTTCTACTCCTGTTAATATTTCTAGTATTACTTCTAATTATGCTACTGCTACTACTACTACTACTACTACAACTTATTCTACTACTACTACTACTACTACTACTACTACAACAACAACTTCTGCTACTACTGCTTTTAGCTTCTTCAGATAATGCAGTTTAGCTTCCAACTCTGCCAGTTATACATATAAACCAGAAGGTTTTTCATCAGTGTAGTTCAATGCTTTTGGGCTTCAACATTTTTCAGGCAGTTTCACGTTTTAGTATTTTCAACAGTGCTTTGCAATTAATTTCAGCTTTCAGCATTTCAACGCATTTTCTCCTGTGTCTTTGATCAGGCTGGTAATAGTTTTTATTAATTAATAGTTTGAATTCAGAAGGAGGAACACTGCTGCTGCAATGTGTGTAAACTGGCAATAAGGTTCAGGGAGCTTATTGTTTCCTTCCTGTGCATGAAACACAGAGTTACTCCTCGGTCAAGGTTGCTGTGTCTTACTTGTGTACTTTTACTGTTGATACTCTAACTACATGAAACTGAAAGTACTTGTGTACTTTCACTTGAACCAAAAAACTTTAAAATTGTTCCTGAACATTTGACACACTCAGGAGGTTACTGGTTTATTAAGTTCACAGAAACAACACTGACACGTGAGTCAAAGTCCAGACAGGAGATCTCCCTCACTTTATTTCATTGCATGTTTTTCCATGATGGCATTATTTCCTGCGCTGTGATTGGCTCAAGCGTTGCAGCGGTTGGTGTGGCAACAGGTCCATCCAGGTTTAGAGCAGTTGTCCTTAGGAGTGCAACCCTTTTCTCCGTTATCTGCAACATTAAACAGCAAACTCATCGACAGAGCGTCCACACATGCCAGAGAATATTAATAAAAAGACTTTCATTTTCAAATTCACATTGTGTTTTTACAGAGATGCAAATGAAAATAGGTATTTATTGTCCAGATCTACTGGACCAACGTCTTAATCCTCAAGTGTTATTTTAAATTCCACACAAAGATCTTTAAAATCCCGATTTACACCCACCTCTGGTGTAGCAGCCCTGTTGAACTGGGCCGCTGCAATCCAGGAGCATGTTGTTGACCATCAGGAAATCCTCACCGTAACACTGGATTGTAAACTTCTGAGCTGCAACACAAACCTGAGACCTCACATATTTGTCGAAATAAACGTTGCAGGACTGTCAGAGAAAAAACTGAGTGGATGACCCAGAACAGGTAGACCCACATCAGCTTTAATGATTACACTTTCCATTACTGCCATCAGTGTAAATTCACACTTATTGATTAAAACAAATTAGTTCATGTTCATTTTTCACAAAGTTCATAGTCCCAAAAAATGAAGTAGTTCACGCTCACATTGGTTCTCCAATGTGTCTTTTTTTAAAACTGGTCGGATGCTATGACATTTAAATAGTCTCTAAACCCGAGCACATAACAACCAGGCGTGTTCACGTGATATGAGGGCACAGAACAGTGCTGAGGTAGCTTTTCTTTGGCTGTGATGAGTGCTAGCTTGACCCTCACTAACGGCTGATGTCTCCGCCCTCTGCTGATTGAGTGCATTTGATTATGTTCATTAATGGATATGTTAAGTTCACTGTTCACCAAAAAATTAACACGTTCCACGATTTAAATTATCATTAGTCACTTTCCATTTAAATATTACATTATTTACAGTTTCACATATTGCTTAAAGTGTATAATTAATATTTCTCACTGGGACTCCTGTGTTGAATTTAACAAAAGCGCCCATTGCTGCTAACCCCAACCCTAACTCCAACTGCCTTATAATAATAATAATAATAATAATAATACATTTTATTTATATAGCACTTTTCATAATACTCAAAGACACTTTACATTAAAATCATCATATATAAAAGCAATACACTAAAAACATAAAATACACAATATCGGTCACACATTATCAGACTGCTATATTCTTGTGGTTGACCTGTAATAACCTCCGTAAATCATATATGTATGTTTTTGTTGCTAAAAAAGACCCTACATTTCCCTCAGAAAATACTTATGTAACAATATAGGTTGTTAGTCATTTGTTCAAATGGTTAAATGTGTAACTCAACCCCAGTGTGTGATCGTACCTTCAGTTTAAATAGTTAAATATGTGAGTGTTTGATGATACCTCCAGTTCAAATAGTTAAATGTGTGAGTGTTTGATTGTACCTGAGCAAAGTGGCAGCAGCAGCAGCAGCAGCAGCAGGTAAACCTTCATGATTCTGGTCTTTTGTCAATGCAACTCAACAAGCAGTACAAATTGAATAAGGAGAAGAACGAAGCTGGACTTTTATCCTTTGCTGACACACACACACACACACACACACACACACACACACACAAAACAAACAAAGGTGAACTGACAGACTAAGTGAACCGACATCTGTTTGTTCAAAAGTTGTTCATTTACTTTTTAAAACTTTGAACTGAACAGTCATGTTTCTGATGAGTCATGGTTGAATTTTCTCGCACTTTGGACACTGAAGTAGAACAAACATCTGTTTGTCTCACTCCGAAAGTTTCTATTGATGGAAGCGAGTTAATAAATCAGCAGATATTACCTCCTCACAGATTTGTTGGTTTATTAGGTAAGAGGTAATGACCACAATTGCCGATTGGTAATCATCTATAAGTTAGGGTTAGTGCTAGCCTCACGAAATGTAGGGAGTGTTGGTTAGGGGGTTAGGGGATTGTGATTATGTGACTGGCTCCCAGCGAGATAATCCGTGCACTGTCCATCACTGCCTCACACCACAAAGCTCCTATCTCTCATTGAGGCCTTTGAGATGTGTGGATTGGGGTTAGGTTTCGGTGGGGACGTGGTGGAGGTCACAGGGGGCACTTGCACAAGGGGAACATTTATCTAAAAGAGATGTTCGAGTGTTCTTTTGTTGGGAGCATAGGTTTGCTAAAAAGCCCCCTATAATAAACAACCTTTTAAAAGAATAAAAGTCGAAAATGGGATAAAAACTAAAAAGTTAAAAGGTTAAAATATCATAAAATAAATTATTAGCTGGGTTAGGGAGCTCCCTAATATTCGAAAGGACTTTCCCTTCCGAAAATTAGGGAACCTGTTAGCTACCGTGTCTGTGCGTATGTAAACCGAGCTAGCAGCTATCTTTCTGATCGGATCTTCATCGCAGTAAGTTATACTTTACCCATGAAATGCCCGTTCACTGGGGTAACATGTAGTTGATGTACTGGAGGTACTTTGGCCAGGAAATATGCGTTTTGACTCGGGTAACGTGTACTTGATGTACTGGAGGTATTTTTACTCATTTTTCTTACTTTTCCTGCCTGCTTTAAGTGCATACACTGCGGGTAGGTGCAGGAAGGTCCAGGGATGTGTACTGGAGGTACTTTGGCCAGGAAATATGCGTTTTGACTCGGGTAACGTGTACTTGATGTTTTTCACCAAATATCTTTATTTTTGCTTTCAGAATGACTCCAACCCAACACTGCAGCCCTTGCCCGGGGTGCTGCAAAATGTATGCTGCCCTACCGCATCACCTGAGGATGAAACACCTGGTCAGGAACGATGCTGAAAGGAGATTGCTGCTGAACATGGCAACAGGCAGAGTGAACATTCGTTCTGAGGCTTGTCCAGTCTTGGGCTGTTCCTATCACAGCACAAGA